AAAAAAAAAGACTATCTCCTTAAAGCAATCAGGCTTGGTATAATCAGAGTATCTGAAAGACCCTCTTGGAGTACTGAAAAGGCAGGATTAGAGATAGAAGAGGCAGAGTCTCTCCCACAGTAGCAAGGAGATCAAGGAGACTAGGCCAGATAAGTTGACTAGGAAACCTAGGGAAAGCCTCTCCCGGAAAGGAATTATATTTTCCATACTCTCAGTTCAGATGTGTGTCCTGACAAGGAATGTTTTCTAATTTATGAGTGTATTTATATAAAATTTTAAAGAAAGGTCTAAAAGTGAAATTACATTTAGTTATATGTTTAACAAATAACCTTTTTTTTTTGGAAAAGGGAAAAAAATACATAAGATCAGGACTGCTCTGGAAAGTTCAGGGTAGAAAGTTGCAGTTTTTCCTCCATGTTTGGGTTTATTTTTCTTATAAATATGCCTTAAGTTCCGTTGCTGGTAGCTTTTGGCTGCATCTGAGATTTAGACAGGTGGGAAGAAGGTGGAAGGACATTCAGAGTGTATTTTTCTGGGCAGGGAAAGAAGGGTAGACTCTGTCAACAAGAGTGAAGTGTGAATGAGCATTCCAGAGCCAGGGCCCAAGTCAGGGGAGGAAGTGGATATGAGGGAGGCTACTGAACTGTCCATAACAGAGGACCATGTCTGGGGAGAGGAAAAGCTAAGACTAAATTGCTTAAGTCAAGTTGGAGTTTTCCTTCTTTTACATTTCTTCCGTACATCCAGGCTGTCCAAACCCTGTCGCTTCTATATCAACAGCTCCTTTCCCCCATCTTTCCTTTCTACTGCCTCTCTGGCCTCAACTCAGGATCTCCTCATGTCCCCATCTTGACACTTGCAGCAGCTGCACATACTCATTCTCAGTATGTATCTACCTATGCAAGTTTTGCTGTCAAGCTTGAAAAGGCAGTCTTTGTTCAGAAAACTAAATATATAGAGATTTTGCCAGAATTAACAGCTTCTCGAGTCTTTGTTCTCTTGGGCAAGGTGCAAACTCCAATTCTAATGGCCCATGAAATCATATACACTACGTATGTCCTCACTGAGTCCTGGGGAAAAGGAATTGGAATTCATAAGAGCAGAGGTCCTCAAACTAGGGAAAGCCTTAGAATCCACTGGACGGCTTGTTAAAACAAGAATTACTGGTTTCCACTCCCAGAGTTTCTGATGTAGTATGTGAAGTGTGACCCAAGGATTTGCATTTCTGACAAGTTCCTAGTTGGTGCTGATGCACTGTTCTGCAGTGTGAGTACCTTGAAGGCAGAAACCATGTTTTATTTCTGTATCCCCAGGTCTTTAGTGCAGGGCCTGAGGTATAGGAGGCTTTCAGTAGCAGCTGTTAAAAGAATTAAATCATAAAAAGAGAGAAAAGAGAAGGGGATGGGGAGGAGAAAAGTAAAGGGGCTGAGGAAGAAAGATGGAAGAAGGGAGACTGGGAGAGAGAAACCACTGGTCTAAACCACCCAAACTATAATTCCAGACTATGCATTTCTGTTTTCCTCCCAGAACCCTGTGTGCTGGGCCTATATAACCTTGCCACCTCAGGTAATTTTCAATTCTCAAAGAGGTCCTTGCTTTTTCTGCCATTTCCTCTGGTATTCCATCTGCTTAGTTAGAATGCTCTCTGCCCACCTGGAAAACTCTTAATCATTTCCCAAATACTTTCAGTTCTGTGATGTTTTCCTGACCTTCGTCATCCTGGGACATTAATTGACCCAACATTGGAGTTTCCATAGCACTTGCTCCTTTGCACTGGACTCATTTATTTATAGGTCTGATTTCACTAGGCTGGAACTCTTGGAGACCCAAAGGTACCTGGAACATAATTAGCGCTCCAGAGATTTCTTAACAAAAACAATAAAGAGGAGTTAGATTTGATCTGATGGGCAATAGACAGCTGTCATAAGTTCCTGGTTGGAGGACTGACACAGTCAAAACAATCTTTTAGAAATATTTTGCTTGCAGTCGAGACCAAGATAGACCAAGGTAAAAGAAAGTGGTATCATTAGAAAACAGCAATGAGGAAGGCCTGATGATAGTGGGGATGAAGACTGGCCTGGTCAGTCTGGTTGTTGTATCTAGCTTTTCTTTGCATTAGGAACACTAAGAAGTTTCACCTCTATCTACTTTCTTTGTCTCCACCAGAGTGATGGTCATGGGGGTATGGAGGAAGCATCCCTAATCATCTCAGTCCTTGGAAACACCCAGGATGCTGACATCTTTGCTTCTTGAAACACAGGTTAGGTGGAAGCTCTAGTGTTGGCCTTCATTGTGAGGTTGATCAAACAGATTTCCAAGAGCTCAGCCTCCTTCTTCAGTCCCCTGTCCTCCACCCATTTCCATCAACCTCTGCACAAGCCCAGTGCCTTGTGTTCTCCCTGTTAATAAAACCTTATCTGACAAAAACATTTAATTAGTCACTTATGTCTGATGGTGAATAAGATATTTAGGAGTTCCTTCTCCCAAAGAGTGGTTGTACCATTGACCTATGGAGGAAGAACTGGCACACTATCAAAGGAATTACAGGCAGCAAGTAAAAGTATTTTTGAGGAACCCATGGAGCCTTTCTTGGACCTCTGAAAACACAGTACTATACGTGACCACCTATTCTGATGGCACAGACTGAGCTTAGCCAAAGCATCTTATAAGTAAAAAGAGGTAATTGGATTTCTGCTCAACTATGGAAGGGAGATCCAAGATCTTATATGTTGCAAATGTGCTGTGCTATTAATTATGGTGTTTCCATCATACATTGATCCTCAGCTTCTTCATCTATAGAATTAAGCGTTGGACAAAATATTGTCTAAGTTTCTGCCAGTTCGGACATTTTGTGGTTATTTGATCATTGGTTCAATGCTTAAAAAGAAAGAATGTCAGCCAGAAATATTGAAATCAAATTTTATTTTTGGAAAATGACATTACACACATCTTGCAAATGTACACAGAAATGAGAATGAGATGAAGAACAGAGCTTGAGAGCCAAAATGATTGCAAGAGCAGCTCTTTGGCTGCCCGGTATCGAATGCTGTGAATCCACAACATTCATAGTTCACAACACGCTACACACATGGGGATCTTCTCTAGACTTTGAAGTACTCTGACCAAAGAAAGCCCTCATCAAATTGTGAAGGGAGGGAGAGGGAGATTAACAGGCACAGAAGATGAAAAGTGTCTGCTCCAGCTGCTTTACATGGGCCTCACCAAACCTACCAATCCAAGTGGGAACAGCACACCAAAAATTAGAATGCGTTCTGGGAACATCGCTTTTGAATCACAGTTTAAGGGAGGGCCAGGCATGTCTAGGAAACCAACAGCAATGAATGTAAACCCATGTCCTTGACTTTTCTGGCTGTAAGTATTCTAAAGGGGCAGCTAAAAATTCCTAAATATCTGTTGTCTTTCTCTGTTTTTCTTTTCTTTTTAAAAAATAATTATTTGTCATTGGTCAAGCAGAGACTTCAAAACTCCTGCAAGGATAAGGAACATCATTTTCTGCTGTCACCTTGTTTATATGTGATTCTGAGAACTATTCAATTCTGCAATGTAATCAAATGGCCAATTGCACTCCCAATTTGCCACTAAGTTTTATGCAAAGGAGAGTTTAGTCTTTGATCACAACGCCATTCCTTGAGACATGGTCAATAACTGCTGAGAAATGTTTTGCCCCCCTTTTTTTATTTGTTTGTTCTTTTCTGACTTTACTTGGCAAAAGTTATTGGCCTTCAAATCAGTTATTTACAACTGTAAAGACACCTGGGAGCAGGGAGAGGGAGAGGACAAGGGAGGGAGGAGGGAACACAAGGAAGAATATATTCTTTTCAGAGATTAAAATGAGTTATTTAAGAAATGTGATGTACAATACCATGCATTTACTCTCCAAAGCTAGTCACTAGCAAGCTAACGCCTCTAACACTACAACCACCAATTACAGCTGTTTTGCTACAGTTACTGAGTTCTAACTACAGCTATAGGACAGAAAGGGTGGGCTGTTTCCAATTTAAACTTTATCCCTTTGAAAATGGCCATAAAACCGTTTTCTGTACAAGTTTAATGGCAGAAAAAGGTGACCAAAATATGTTTTAAAGAACTTACCACTCATGAGAAATGCAAAATTCAATCAAAACATGTGTTAGTTGTATACAAGTCATAAAGCATCATTGGCTTCAAGCTGCAATATATTACAGAACCATACATTGAAGACATTTTGATATAACCTCTTACTTGCTCAAATCCCATTAAGAGAACTTGTAAAGAAATGGCATTGGAAAGGGCATTCCATATCGTATTGCCAAACAGTGACATTCCCAAGGGCTGTGCATCCTGTTAAATAAATTAGCACCTACAGGCTGGCTTCTTTAAGTCTATTAGTTAGTTTTATATGGACTACCTTAATAGGATCATGAGCAGTCGGTATCAACTGTAAATATTTAGGTTAATTTAGTAACAAAAGGAAAAATACATTTCAATTAAGCGAATGTTTCTTTTTATGGTATGGATTTGTTAAATACACTTTTCATTTAAATAAACTCCAATTGCCTATAAGTTTAGCTAAAAAAAATTCAGAACTTGGCCAGCCCAAAACATAGATTGCTATACAGAACTTAATGTATATTGGTAAAACTTTATAAACAAATTGTTCTCTTACCCAACACCACCACCCAACCAAACCAAATGACAGGAGAAATTACCTGTGGTCTCTCATTATATTATATTGCAGCTTTTCAAACTGTAAGCAAATTAGGCAAAATTAATTAAGAGTGTTTAGTTGATATGAATCCATGGGTGGATTTTTCTGTTCAGCTGATTATTTCTCTGAGCACACTTAACTGCTCCACAAAATAGAAGACCAAAAAAATAATCACAAAGTATTCTGTACAGTGCTTGGAAGGCAAAGACCCAAAGATACATGAGCTATAAGGAAACAGCTTGTGTGGATCTGCTTTAGGGAATTACAACTAAAAGTGGAGAAGAAGAAAGGGCCAGGTTTGGATTATTCTCACCAACATTCTTCTGACTAGATTTGGGCAGGATCAGAGCTGGCTGAGTAGGGAAATAATTCTCATCACCAAGGTGAAATCACAGGGTTAAGAAAGACATATACCCAATGGCTAGATGAGGAGTAAGGAAAAAACAAAATTCAAAAGACAAAGGATGGATGTGTGTATTGTGGAAACAGAGAGTGGTAACATAGAGAATAAAACTAAAATAAAACACTGAACTAGAGAGAGAAAGCAAAGAGACATGCGGTGGAGGTAGAGAGTGGCAAAAACCCATTGATTTCCTCAGGTTATTAACCCAGAAATGAGAAGTCCCAATGCCTGTTTTTGCCTTAATTGACAAGGTATTTTCTCTGACTTAGGCTGTGCCATCTGACCTTGCCTACTAGCCTGTCTTTCTAATCAGGAGCAGAAAGATGCCTTAATTTCCAAAGGGAATTCTATATTTTCCTACCCCTGGCACCCAAGGTAAGGCAAGATTGCCTCTGATTCCAGAAGAGGTTGAAGCCTATAAACTAAGAGATACAAATTAGGTAGTTGGAAGGGGGCTTCAAGAGTCTTGTCATATGATAATCAGTGTCACACTACCTAGGCCAAAGTGGGAGGTCTGCATGGATCCTTAATGGGAAATAAGCAGGAAGCAACACCAGCATTGAGAGGCTGGGTATAAAAATCACAGTAGATCTTTGAGGACCCGGGTTGGGGAGACAGAGGAAGAAGTCATTTTTTTCCTGAAGAGATAAGAGGGACAAAATTCTTTAACCAGGTTTACTAAAATAAAGGCTGATAGAGAGCCTTTTAGTCTCTGAAAAGAAAAAGTGGAAGGGGCTAGGAGAAGCTGTTGACAGTCCCAGACCATAGTAGATTGCCCATTGCATTCAGTGCTCTGTCAGTTTAGAAATGCATTTCCTTCCCACACACATGACTTAGCTACTGTGTGACAAGAACCTCCAGCCTTTTACCTACTAGAGAAGTGAGATCTGTAAGCCAGAGGAACAATAAAATTGGGAATTAATTTTTAAAGAAATGACCGGTGTTGTCATGGTCTAGAACCACAGCTTTTAGCTATGATTAAGGACAATTCACTGAGTGTTAACAGCACTAGACTGGGTCTGGATGAACAATAGCTAGAGAACCTGTTGGAGATGCCCCTCCAGCCAAAAGGTAGACATGAGGGATCAATGCAGTATCCTTGCTCCAGGTGGTAACACTTGTAAGGAAGAAGAAATCATCCATGGAATCAGAACAGTAGACAAGGTTATATATGGCGTCCCCGTCTCGGTACAGAGGCAGAAGTGTGACACCTTTGAAGTTCCATACCAGGAGAAAAACCCAGGAAGACCAGCAATTGCAAGGCTTCATTGTACACAAGAGGTCTCAGATCACTTCTGGCCTATCAATGGCTGGGCCTTTATTCTCTCTAGATCCCAGGTCCCTAAACATAGGACTCTAACCCCTCCCCCATTCCAGATAAGCTTCAAAACACTGATCGTTTACTTAGGAAATCAGCCTAGATCTAAGAGCTAAATCTCTTAATGCAATGAAGGCAATGCATGAGTGAGGCCTGGCCTTGGAAGTCCAAGTGACCCCATGTGGCCAAGGACAGGTTCTAATTTCCTTGTTTTTTGTTTTTATTTCCATAGCAAACTGGACAGTGGATGAGGTCATTCAAACCCTACTGTCCCAGTGCATCTGTCTGGGTAAGTCTCAGCATAGATATTTCGGAGGTGGGCTGGTTTTTGAAAACATTCTCATCAGTGTGCTTAGAGCTCATTTTGGGGACATGGGAAGGCTTGTTCCATTGTCCAAGGAAGACATGTTTGTTTGTTTTTTTAATTGAGAACCAAATCTGAGGGAGATTGGGAGCATGTCCATCCAGAATATTGAAAGGACTAAGGAAGTAGACACAATATTTTCCAAGGCAAGCACTGGATTGTTGCTCTAAGACTTGGGCTGGTTAATTCAAAGAAGGACCTAGGACTCAGACCCCTTTTTCTTGCCTTCTTCAGATAGCTTACACATCCACTTTAAGTCTCCTTGGTTATTTTGGATTAGGGAGGAGAAGCAAGAATGAGAGAGAATTTCCTGAGTAGTGGGGTCAGCCTGGAAGGAGGTCTCTTGGAACTGAACTAATAAATACCCTTTAGTTCCCAGGAAGAGGCTTGCTGTGAGGAAAAGTATGTGTTCAGAACTTGTTGACCTCATTACTGCCATGGAAGGCCAAAGGATCATGATGAGTATGGTGTGTAGAGCACATACTTACTATTTTAGTGCAAATACAAAGTGCCAATTTTTAACATAGGCTAGGGTACATTTTAGTCACACAGCCCCTTGGTTATACTTGGAAATTGTCCCTATTATGGCAGGAAGGATATGGGAACATTGTTGATGAGGATAACCACAGAAAGACCAGGTTATTTTCTTTAAGTAGCCTCACCTCCATATTTAAAAGAAATCATTGCCAGCAAATGTTAGCCACACTCATTTAAAAAATGAAAAAAAAATGAAGGCTATCTCAGAAAGTCAGGATGAGCAAAGCTATTGTTCCCTTTTCTTTTCTTCCTTTCCATGCTCTAAAAACATTTCCCTCAATCTATGAAGACCAACCAGTATGAGATGAGATGAGGTGAGCTGTCTAGGAAAATCAGCCTTCCTATATCCTATTTGGGCAGGGCAGGAGCTCAGGGAGCTGTTCTGAGGGCTTCTCAAGGTAGGGCAGTGATCCCCTGTGTTGGATGCATAAGGTCAGGGACCTCATTGCTCCTGTTGGTCTTCAGTGCTTCCTTCTCTTTGCAGACATCTGCAGTCCATGTGGATGGGAAGCATGAGAATACAGGGATAAAAAGCTGTATTAGGTTGCTGGGTGAATTTCCCGCTGAGATCAGGGCAGCAGAATATGACTCCAAGATGCAATATGACCCTGGGAAGGAATTCTCAGGAGCCTAGTAGAAGGCAATACAGTTCAGTGGGAAAAGACCCTGGAATAAGAGCCAAGAGATGTGGGTTCTAATCCCAAACTTGCCTCTAGCCAGCTGTGTGACCTTGGGGAAATTACTTTACCTCTGCCTTTCCATTCCTGGCCTGAAAATGAGGAAAATTTGGAGTAGATGATGTGATCTTAAAATTCCTTCCAGCTAGAAAACTCTATGATTCAATCTAGGTTAATAGTGAAGTCTGTAAGAACAAAAAGGAGTCATGCTAATGGTTATCCTTTCCAAACTGAAAAGGAAGTTTTCTCTCTATTTACCCCTAGTTAAAACTACTTATGAAGTTGTTCAGCCCAGACCCCATATATACATTTTCCCCTTCTTGGTCCCTATTTCTATTTCTGTAAGGAAGAAAAATCAGGAGGTAGGAATAAGCAACAGATCAATTGAGTGTGTGTTTGTATGTGTGTGTGAAAAAGGGAGAAATAATGGGGGGAGTAGAGGCAAGTGTTTGCTGAATGACGATATTTTCTAACTATGCAGAAGGTAACACAATGGGAATTTAGTGGTAAAACTGGATTGGGTAAAATTGGGAATGAATGATGGGTAAAGGCGTTCAGTTATAAAATGTTTCTTTTTTGCCTTGAAAATGGGCCAATTTAAAATGCAATTACTAAAAGCTTGAATTTTGAACTATACCAAGTCTTCCTGATGTGGCAGTACAGAAATATTTTCGTATAATTTATTACAAGAAAGATAGAAAATCTACTATTATTATAGGAGATTGTTGGTTCAAAAATTATTCTAAAGAAAACATAACCATTTAGTATTTCCTAACAGTGCATATGCCACAAGCAAGAAAACACTCAAAGAAGTAGCACAGGGCCTGGACATGAGGAAATCTCAATTCCTCCTCTTGGCTCGCTCCTTCCAGCAGGTCATTTAGCTGCCTTGGCCTCCATTTCATCTTTGATTGAAGGAATTGGACTAAATGAGATCTAGAGAAACATCTAGAGAAAGGGTGACATCTTTGGGGGTCTGACCTGAAGTTTAGAAATAGACCTCCTACCACTCTCTACACCACCACCCATCTCAAGCACCAATTTTTCCCAGTTAACTACAAATTGTTCTGGGAGGCACTAAGAAAACCTTGAGCTTTTTGGAAGAAGTAAAGGAGTTAGTAAAATTGGCTTCTTAATGGTTTCTAAGAAACCTACAAATAGAGGGGAGGGGCAAAAAGAGATTATCATATTTGGGGGTTCTTCAATGACCAGTTTAACCAGGAATTAGTACTACCACCATCTGGACTTTTCTTAAACCAAAAATGCCTCTTGTAGCTGAGGTCATCTGAAGCTTGTCTAAGGGCATCTGAACTACCCTTTTCCACCACTGAATTCCCTCCCACACAGTGCTCATCAGCAATGCCACCAAGTTGCCACTGATCCATGTTGGAGTATCCTGTAGTATCTCCTAATTATAAAGTGGTTGTGTGTGTCTCTGCGCGTGCACACACGCACAGACACACACACACACACACACACACACACACACACACACAGAAAGCTCATTCCTATTAAAGTAGAGGAACGCTGCAAGTCATTCAATAGCCAAGAAGCAACTTGGCTTCAAATGCTGCACCTTTCCAACTATCTGCACAATTACAAAGAAATAAGGAAAATTTCATATCTGTTAAAAGCAAACACAGAATTGGCATGCATGGCTTTCACTTAAATTTAGTTGTCTTTGCCATTATGGGCTATGATTACAGACAAAAAGTAGTGTTATGAACCTGTACCTCAAAGACTGATAATTACTTCAAATGATCAGTCCTTAGCAAAGAGAAACCCATTCTAGTGTTAAAGACAAAAGAAAGGTTTCTTTGGCTTCAGTATGAAATATCAGGATTATAGATAAAAAGAGTTGCTTAAAATATGCCATAACATTTCATTTAAAATATAATTAGAATGTCTGGTCCACGTTGAAATTATTAATGTAAGCATAACTGTTAAAAAGTTATCAAAAGACTGATTCTATTGAATTGCCCTCTGCTATTTATTTTGTTTTCTCCTGGAGGTTTCTGTTTGGCAGTGACAGCATGATTTCTAAACTATGTTATTCTGCATTTTTTTTGATAAATTTTCTGCATGTGTTTTTTTAAACAAAAGAAAAATCACCAGTTTATAAAAAAGGAGCCTGAAGAGTTTGCTCCTGAAATACAGACACAAGGTTTTATAAAAAGGATATTGGTTTCTTGCTATAAAAAGCGACCGAAAGGTAACAGACCTGAAAACAAATTCTCACAGTGTTTTCAGTGTTGGCTGTTTACAAGGCATTCAATAGAACAGAGATAGATGGATACCATACACTTTGTGTAATAATTTGCTATGTTAGACAGCCTCCTAGAGGAATCAGCTATATAGAGCCCCTCACCCCCAACTCTATTAATTGCTTATTGGTTCTAAATTGCCCCAGTGGAAGAGTTGACAAGGAATTCACTGTGCTTTATAAACTCTACTGAGATGCCTACAGTGTTTCCCAATTCTGCCTAGTCTCTTGTATCCAGCCCTGTAGCAGGTCCCTAAGTGTCTAGTGTCAGAATTATAAGTTGCTGGTGTTTTTCCCCAGGGACAGCCAGAATTGATGCTAGACAACAAACAGGGGGTTCCATCAGGAGTGAAGCGCAAGATCAGGGAGTTGCCTTGTCATCCTCCCAGGATCTTCCAGGATTCTCGAGATTGGGAGTCAAGGGGTACTTGTTTTTGTCACTCTCGGATTTGCCAACGATTTTTTCCCACACACATTTTAAGTGTTAGGTATGTAAACAACCCTCTACAAAAGGAAGGCTCTTGTATATGAGCAAAGTGAGACAGAAAATAATGCAAATGCCTAAGTATTCAATAGAAAGGTCATGGGCTATCACATTTTGCATCCTTGGAAAGTTACCCCAAAGGATGGTTATCAATCTATCTCTTATAATGGTAACTGTGGATCGATCAGTGGCCCAGAGGAGAAATCACAGGAAAATAAACCCAACATATTACAGTGTGTTTTTTTTAAATAATAACAACAACAAAGAAATAAAAACTTGAAAGCACTGATAGCCCTGTTGAACACTTGAGCAAAAGTGCCCTATTGTAACAGTAAGCTTGGATTTGTACTCTGGACTCTGAACACTCTCTTCTTCTTCACATGGAATCACCAAGTGAGTCTGAGTCATCCAAAGACAGAGGCAGGTACAGGTCCTATAAGAAGATAATAGAAAAAGTTATCTCTCCTTTTCTTAGCAACTTGGGCTCTGAAATGGGCATGATCATATGACTGCTTTTATTTTTCAATTAATATTTTCTCTAATTTTAGTTTGAAATAATTATAGATTCACAGGAAGTTGAAGTACAGAGAGGTATACTTGTACCAATGCACTCTTCATTCAATTTCTCTCAACGGTAACATTTTGAAGTTTTCCATTTACTCGCGTGTGTGTGTGTGTGTGTGTGTGTGTGTGTGTGTGTGTGTTGTAGTAGTAGTACTCCCATGCAGATTTACCACATGTATATATTTGTGTAATCATCACCAGTCGAGATACAGAACTGCATCCTCACCAAAGGGCTCCCTCATGCTATGCCTTTATAGCAACATCTACCCCTCCCCCATCCCTAAGCTCTGGTAACCAAAAATCTTTGCCATCTCTGTAATTTTGACATTTCAAGAATATTATATGAATGGAATCATATAGAATGTAACCTTCACCCACTGAAGGGCATGTGGGGTGATTCTAGTTCGGGGCTATTGCAAGTAAAGCTGCTATGAACATTCATGTGCAGGTTTTTGTGTCAGTATGTTTTCATTTCTCTGGGATAAATGCTCAAGGGCATAACAGCTGAATCATATGGTAATTGCATGTTCAGTTTTGCAAGGACTGTGCTATTGTTTTCCAGAATGGCTCTACCATTTACCTTCTCACCAGAAAAGTATTAGTGATCCAGTTTATCTACATCCTCATCAGTATTTGATGTTTTCACTACTTTTTATTTTATCCATTTTTGTGGGTTTGTATTGGTATCTCATTGCAGGTTTTAATTTGTATCTCCCTGATGGCTAATGGTGTTAAATTTCTTTTCATGTGCATAGTTGATATCTGTAATTCCCTCTCAGTGAAATGTATCTTCATATCCTTTGTTCATTTTCTAATTGGATTTTTTCTTACTGTTAAGATTTAAGTTATTTTCTTACATTTTTATTACTATTTTTAATTAAATTTTATTGGGGTGACAATTGATAGTAAAGTTACATGGGTGTCAGGTGTACAATTCTGTAATACATCATCTATATATCACATTGTATGTTCACCAGCCAGAGGCAGTTGTCCTTCCTTTACTATATATTTGATCCCTTTAGCTTCATCTACCATCCCCCCACCCCCCTTACCCTCATCTGCCATCCCCCACCCTCCTTACCCTCTGGTAACCACTAAACTGTTGCCTGTGTCTATGAATTTTTGTTTCTTCATTTGTTTGTCTTGTTCCTTTGTAGTTTTTAGTTTTATATACCACATATCAGTGAAATCATATGGTTCTTGACTTTTTCTGATTTATTTTGCTTAGCATAATAATCTCAAGACCCATCCATGTTGTTGCAAATGGCACTATTTCATCTTTTTTTTTCTCTTGGCAGAATAGTATCCCATTGTGTATATATACTACATCTTCTTTCATTCACCTATTGAAGAACACTTTGGTTGTTTCCATGTCTTGGGCACGGAAATACAGCCACAATAAACATCAGAGCACATATATCTTTACTGATAAATGTTTTCAGATTTTTTAAGTAGATACCCAGGAGAGGGATTATTTTTATATTTTATATATGTCTTTGGTTAGATATGTGGCTTGCAAATATTTTCTCTCAGTCTGTAGTTTGTCTTTTCATATCCTTTGCTTGGTCTTTCACAGAGCAAAAGTTTTTAATTTTGGTGAATCCCAATTTATCTTTTTTTTTTTCTTTTATGGATTGTGCTTTTGTTGTCAAATCTAAGAATTATTTGCCTTGCAGAAGATCAGAAGATTTCTCCTATGTTTCCTTTATAATGTTTTATATTTTACATCTATAATCCATTTTTGAGTTAATTTTTGCATAAGACATAAAATTTAGGTTAGGGATCATATTTATTTATTTATTTATTTATGATTATCCAATTGCACTAGCATCAATTATGGAAAAGGCTACCTTTTCTTCATTGACTGAAGAACATTTTGCACCTTTGTCAAAAATCAGTTGTGATTATATATGTAGGTTCATTTCAGGCTCCGAGAGAATTTCTAGGCCTTGAACAAATGCCTAACCTAGAAAATATACCCCATCTACCTACTTCCAACTTATTTCTTGATGTTTCCATTTCTAGGAATTAGGATTTATCGCTCCAATACTGCACCGAACCTGGTCTATTGTCTTGAGGAAACAGGGGTGATGAAATGGCATTTGTTTTCCCCATTGTTCCCAGAGCTCTATTTGGGGAGCCTTGTGATTCCTCTTGGACTTACTTCATGCATTGTCTAAATCAGTGATTTTCAAATATGTCTTTCTCTCTCAATCTCTCTCTTCTCCTTTTAAATCTTCTATTCAAATGAAATTTGCTTGGAAAACCAATACATGAAATAAATAAAACAGTAGTTGTACTGGTTGAACCAGACATGGGGAAGGCAGAATCTCACCCATCTCCAAATGAAGTGGTTTGAAAATGACTGTTTTCATTCATGTTATCAGCAAGATACTAAAGGGAACTAGAAGAGTTAGGGTCAATTCTGTAGTTATTTAAGAGATCTACTATGGTAAAATGGAAACAGAGAACTTCAGTAGAGGACTTTCTAAGAAAAACAGAGAATACAGCTTTTCCTTGGTGTAGATGAAAAAGTGAAGATGAGCAATAGGGACAAAAATGGGGTGGAGAGGGACTTATATATCTAACATTGGGAATGCTTTTTGCTTGGACAGAGGGACAGTAAAGGTTTTAGGCGGCTTAGAATTGAAAGAGGAGTAAAGTATATTCAGAAACATGAGGTTTTAATTCTGGTTAATTAGTACTGTGACACTGAACAAGTCTTTTGAGTCTTGGTTTCTTTTTTTCATTATTAGTTTCAGGTGTGCAAAGCAACATAATAATTAGACATTTAAACACCTCATAAAGTGAGAACCCACCCCCAAGCTACTACCCCTCTGACATTTTATATAGCTATTTCTTCCCTATGCTGTCCTCCACATCCTGTGACTATATACCCATATATTTAGTTCTAGTTGACATTCAATATTTTCTACTTCACCTTCAGGTTTACAGCGCATTGGTCAGGCATCTACACAGTCTATGGCATGATTTCCCTGATAAGTCCAGTGCCCAACTGGCACCTTACATGACCTTTACAACATTGTTGATTATTCTTCATATTGTATTAACTATCAATTTATATTTCTTAGCATCTTCACCTTTTTCACCCTGCCCCCAACCCCAATCTCATCTATCACCCTTATAGATCTAGTACCCATCTGGCATGATACCTAGTTATTACAATATTGTTGAATGTATTCCTTATGCTATACCCTACATCCCCATGACTACTGTATAACAACCAATTTGTTCTTAATTCCTTCCCCTTTCACCCATCCTTATCCCCACTCCCATCTTAAACAAGTCCCTCTGAAAGTCCTTGTAATACTGGTTTAGTGGTGATGAACTGCTTCAGCTTGTTCTTGTCTGGGAAGCTCCTTATCTGTCCTTCAATTCTAAATGACAGTCTTGATGGGTAGAGCAATCTTGGTTGTACATCACTTGGAATGTTTCCTGCCACTCCCTTCTTGCCTGCAAAGTTTCTTTTGAGAAATCAGCTGCCAGTCTTATGGGGGCTCCCTTGTAGGTAACTAACTTCTTTTCTCTTGCTGCTTTTAAGATTCTCTGTTTGTATAACCTTTGACTTGTCTTGGTATTTGTCTTGGTGTTGGCCTCTTTGGGTTTATATTGTTTGGGACTCTCTGTGCTTCCTGGGCTTGTATGTCAATTTCTTTCACCAGGTTAGAGAAGATTTCTGTCATTATTTCTTCAAATAGGTTTTCAATTCCTTGCGCTCTCTCTTCTTCTTCTGGTACCCCTATAATGCCAATGTTGGTATGCTTGATATTGTCCCAGAGGCCCCTTATACTCTCCTCAATTTTTTGGATTTTTTTTTTTTGCTGTTCTGGTTAGATGTTTTCTGCTACCTTATCTTCCACTTCACTGGTTGGCTCCTCTGCTTCATCTAATCTACTGTTGATTTGCTGTAATATATTCTTCATTTCCATTATTGTATCCTGTATTTCTGACTGGTTCTTTTTTATGGTTTCCATCTCCATTTGCATGTTTCCTATCTCTCTGTTGAAGTTCTCCCTGAGATCATTGAGCATTCTTATGACCAGTGATTGGAACTGCATCTGATAGATTACTTATCTCTATTTTGCTTAGTTCTTTTTCTGGAGCTTTGTTCTGTTCTTTAATTTGGGGCATGTTTCTTTGTCTCCCCATTTTGGCTGCCTCCCTGTGTTTGTTTCTATGTATTAGGTAGGTTTGGTGTCTTCTGGTCTTAGCAGAGTTGCCTTATGCAGTAACTGTGCTGTGGGGTTCAGTGGCACAGTCTTTCTGGTCACCTGAGCCACATGCTCCAGGTGTGTCCCTTGTGTGGGTTGTGTGTGCCCTCCTCTTGTAGTTGAGCCTTGGTTGATAATTGCACATCAATGGGAGGCAATAACCCTTGCGCTCACTCATTGTGAGGACTGGCATTGAATACAGTCGAAGAGTTGTGCAGGGGCTGATCCTACAGAGCAGGTTCTGCCTGAGAAGGACTCTGGTGTCTGCCCAATCCTCCCCTTGGGTGTGTCATACTTGGAGGCAGCTGGGTGATGCTCCAGCTCATTTTGAAGCTGACCACTGTGGGCACCAGCCCCAGGACCACCTTGGACAGGACCTGTTGTAAGTCAAGTTCAGCCACAGCCTGTGCCCCACTTGGGGCCACCTAGCGGGAGCCAGAAAGAAATCCTCAGATGGCTGCCACCCATGCTGTTCTTGGAAGAGCATTGAGTGGCCAAGCCATGAACCAAGGCCGGCTGCCGCTAGTGCCGGATTAGTGCTGCTCAGCCAGAGGTACAGGACATGCTTAAGCCAGATGCTGCTTGTCTGGGTTCTGTGAACCTTTGAGAGATCCTAGAAAAGCGCATCTTGAGCCAA